TTAAGAGATTGGATATTTTTTAGTTAGGGTTTAGGTTTTAGGTAGTTTTTACTCCTTCTTTCCATTTTTATCCTCTTCTAAATCAATTATTTACATATATGTTATTGTATTTAAAAAGAATAAAAAATCAAAACTAATTATTCAAAAATAGTTATTTTCTTTTGTCCACAATTACCTCTCTCTATTTGCGAGAAAAAGGAAAATCAGAATTAAAATCCCAAAAAATATTTCTTTCTTTGTGTATCACTCTCTCTAACTCAATTATTTACATATATATGCCATTGTATTAAAAAAAACGAAAATCAAAATTAATTATTCAAAAACATTTATTTTCTTGCGTCCACAATTACCTCTCTCTATTTGCGAGAAAAAAGGAAAATCAGAATTAAAATCCCAAAAAATATTTCTTTCATTGTGTATCACTCTCTCTAACTCAATTATTTACATATATATGCCATTGTATTTTAAAAAAATGAAAATCAAAATTAATTATTCAAAAACATTTATTTTCTTGCGTCTACAATTACCTCTCTCTCCATTTGCGAGAAAAAAGAAAAATCAGAATTAAAATCCCAAAAAAAATATTTATTTCTTCTCTCTCTCTCTCTCTCTCTCTCTCTCTCTCTCTCTCTCTCTCTCTCTCTCTCTCTCTCTCTCTCTCTCTCTCTCTCTCTCTCTCTCTCTCCGATTCTTCATCTTCTTCCTCACAATCATTTTTCAAGTTCCTATCTTCGAACAATTTATGAGATAGATTTATCTTGGATTCCGATGGCGACGAGATGATTTGAGGAAGAAGCTTTGTATAAGGATTTTGATTTTTTAGATCTCGTTTTCTTGGATCTGGATTTTTTTAGATCTCGTTTTCTTGGATCTGGATTTTTTAGATCTGAAATTTTTTTGTTAGATCTGGTTTTTTTTGTTCAGATGCTTAGTAAATATCTTGTTGTATTTGTGTAGATCCATATATAATTTTTTTTTCTGGATTTGTTTGATGATATATATTTGATGAAATTAAAAGTGGAAGAAGAATGGAGACAAATATTTTAATCTTTCATTTTTCTGATTTTTTCGTTGAAGAACAAACAAGATGAAATAAATATTTTTTTGGGATTTTAAAGGCTTCCCTTTTCCCTATAAAATGAAGGAAGCCCTCAAACGTAATTTCCACCCCGGCCCACCCTCCATACCCCACTTTATTTACTATCACAGAGATCGTGTATCTCACGCACAGTACGGACCCGACTGATTCTATAATTGTGAATAATATATGTACTACTTTCCATATTAAGTTTCAAAAACGTACTATTTTACAACAGATTCCTTTAAATATTATTAGCCAACTGATTCTTATGAAAATTCATATTCGATTAGGAATCACAGTCTAAATCTCCTCTCCAGTAGCGGACCTAGAAATATATTTTACCGGGATCAAACTATATAAAAAGTAATCAATACAAATAAAAATTAAATTTACGTATAAATTTATTAAGTTTTCTACCATCTATTTTTTTTAAGAAAACTTAAATTTCTTTGAGTAAATGTTTCTATTTTCTTATCAAATCATACATATAAAAGTAAGGTTTCACTCTCTTCTTATTGGTCCATTTAGAAATGTAACTTATTTTTTTTTTATTTTTAATTAAATCATAAATAAAACACATTTAATTCACACTTTAATATAAAAACTGAAATCATTAAAATTATACATTTATATTTTTCCACTCAATTTTATTCAACACACAATAAATTAGAATTGTAACTCCCATAATTTTTTTTTTTAATTGTAACTTTTCTCACTTCTCATCCTATAAATACTCATTTCTCATTACTCTCATCCTCTCATCCTCCCACCCTCTTCCGCTATAGCTCAAATCTTAAATATTTTTTTGTTTGTGTTCTTACATTAGGTTTTTTTTTTTGAAAGATGCATTTTCATTGTCTATTTTAGATAATCATCTTATAAGTAATCATTCTCTCATTTTCTTCTACTATATTTATGTGTATTTTTTTATGTTGTTATATGGATTAAAATCAAGAATTTGATTCTAAATTTATTTTAGAATGTATTATATATATCTAACATTGTATTCATTTTTGTATATTTCTAAAGCCATACTAAAATATACTTATTTATTTTTTAATTTTCATATTTTTAGTTTAAATTCACATATGTATACTAAAAGTTTTGATGATTATAACAAAATTTTCAGGTTTATTGATGATGGAGAGTTAAATATATCAATTTCCTATCATAGCACAACAAGATAATGAAGTTGAAAAGATCCATTTCCATTATCTACTTTAGATGTTTGATTATTTTCTAATATACTCATGTAATTTTTTTAATTATGCAATATTAAATGAAATAAATGATTGTAATACATTTATTAAATATATATTTCTTACCTTTTTCTTATCTCGAATAAATTTTGTAATTTATTTTTAATATATGTATTATTATATTTACTTTTTGTGATCCAATAGATAATTATATAAAATAGTTATACTGTTTATTTTCTTTAAAATTTAAGGTACATTCCTTTCACTTAAGGTAAAGAGTATTCCGGCATTCGAAGGATTTTTCAAATTAAAAAGAATTTTGTTAAAAACAATTTGGTCCTTAAGATTAAAAACACAAAATCATATGGTTCAAAAAAATTAAATTTAGGTAGAATAGAAAATTAGAATGAAATCATTTAAATAAAATCTAACACTCATACTTAAATAGAGTGAAATATAGAAGAAAATAACTATAATTAAAACAAAAATCATTTTATTAAATCTTATAAAGATAAAACCATTAGTATAAAATCTAGCACTAGAATTTAAATTGATGAGTGGAATTAAAAAAAAAAAAAGAAAGATAGAAGTTATCCTTGGATCTTTGATGATTTTAATTAGATTGAAGTTCATATGATTTTTATAAGAAAAATAAATTTAGTTTGCCATTTGCAAAATAATATGAATTTGAACTATTATGTGGGAGTTTATATCAACAAACAAACAAATTATCTGTGATTTTATATCAACAATTTATTTTATAAAAGTAATAGATAACATATGTTTATTGATGTTTACATACATAAATAATATTAAAGTAAAAAAAGTACTAAAATATGAGGAAATGCAAGATATCAAATCTTAAGAGCCTTTTTAAAAAAATTTAATCATATTTATATTGAAACAAATGTCATTCACATGTAATAATTAAGATTTTTCTATAATAATATATAATAATTATATTTTATGTACTTTCTCATATTTTGTAACCTCCATACTAATAATTATCATCAAATGGAGAGACGCCAACTATGGGAGCTGCCAACATCCGAAGAAGTCTTTCTCCACTACATACTGAAGTGGAAGCTCTTCTCTGGGCGATGAAGTGTATGATTGGAGCTGACAACCAAGAAATAGCTTTTTATACAGACTGTTCAGACCTGGTGAAGATGGTGTCTTCCCCAACCAAATGGCCGGCCTTCTCAGTGTATTTAGAAGATCTTAAAAGAGACAAGGAGAAATTTTCAAGCTTCTCTTTATCTTTAATCCCTCGAAGTGCAAATGTAAAAGCGGATAATTTGGCGCGAAAAGTTCGCACCGAACCGCATCACATCACATATGTAAACAACATTCCTCAGGAATGGTTCTTTTGAGTTTTTAATTAAAAGCTGTTGACAATAAAAAAATAATAATAATAATTATCGTTATGTTGTTAATGCTCACACTAAATTGTAACAATACTTTAAATACAATTAATACAAAATGAATTCTACAACAATGAATTCTTTGAAATGTAACATAACTTTTATGATATAAATACAATTAACTTACTCATAAATGGCATTTAAACATAATTGTTAAAGTTAAATAGTTGTAAAACCTAAATATATTGTCTTCTATAAATAGTAATATACACATATCTCTAACCATCATATTCCAAATTTCATAATATTGATCAATTTTATAACACTTTTTTTTATAATCCGACTAATGGTGTTTCAATATTACTAATTATGTAACTTAATTTTCATAGTAAGGTTTAATATTTTCACACTTTAACAGAATAAGTATTATTTGTGTATACGTATTATATTACTATAATCATTAAATTTATCATCAACACTCTTAAAATTTCTGATTGGCATCAAATATTGTATTGATTAAAAGCAGTAATATACTCTTAATTATTTTTAAAAAACATAAATGATAAATATCATTGTATATAGATGAATACAATTCAAATTTTATAGAAAAATCAAATTTGAATTTACTGTCATTCATTTATTTAGTTTCCTTTAAATTTTAAATTTTTAACAAAAAACTAAGTAAAATAAATAGAAAATATATAACATAGTATGCAACAAGCTGCGAGTATCGCGGCTAAATAACCTAGTTACACAAAAAGAAAACGTTTTTTGAGAAGTAAATGAATGAATAAAAGGAAACACGTGCAAATAACCATACGATCAATTAGAGCACATCCATTAGAGGTATCTTAGATGAGTTTCTCATCAAAAAGAAATAAAATATAATAGAAATGAATGAGAGAAAGTGCATGAGATGGGTACCTTGTTTAAGAAACTTTAAGAGACTCGTAAGAAACTCTTAAATCACATAAGAATCCACATTGTTTCTAACATTACATAACACTTTGTTAACTTTTATTTTCTATCTCTTTATCGTTTTGCTTGTTCTATCGAATTGAACGATTGGTTTGCATATCGAGTGTGTCCGATTGTGCTCTTCTCATATGGTGTAGATTCTAGAGTTACCTGGGCTAATTTCAGCTAAGTTAGTAGACGAAAGGGTCGAGATGCTGTCGCAGTGTCTCTGCAGCGTCGCCAGCCATCTCGTTGCGCCTAGCCCGATCCCAGAGCCAATCAAAGGCTGGTAGAGTGGGTGGATGTGACTCTCATTATATTCCGCTTGTTCAATCCATGTAACCTGTGATATCAAATCTCTATGTGTTATACATGTAGTTCTTCTACGCGAGTATAAGAATAACCATTTACTATTTATTTATGCCTCCACAACACAAGATTTTGATAGATCATCAATTATGATTGCGAGTAATAACACGTTCGTTTTGAGTTTAAATCTCATGAGCATATGTAAATTGAGCTAAAAGGCTATATAAAGCTATACCATGAGACCAGAATTTAACCGAGGTTAGAAGTATAGGATTCAGAAGTAACCTTGGAGTACCCATTGGCCATGTCCTCTATGAAAACGCCTGAGGGTAGCCTATTAGAACCACCATCAGACAGCAAAGTCGGATTTTGATCAGGAGTAACGTCGACGACCACCCAGAAGCCTTGTCTGAGCTCTTTGCAGTATCTAAGAAACGTTACTTGTCTCTTTGGTACCAGCGGAGAAATTATTTGAAATTCTGCTTGAATCTACCAATATATATGATCACAAATTTAAAAAGTTTTAGGTGTTTCTACTCCTCTTGGATTATCAACCAAATAGACGACTCAGAAACAAATATTACCAGTTGGAGTGAGCCACTTTTGGTTCCACCAGAACCGGTAGGTATCACTTTACGGGTTGATGCTACAGGCACAATAGGTGCAAACACGTTGACCCATTTTCCCTGTGAAAACAAAATTTTTTTAAAACATTTAATGTAACATTCACAAAAAAGTGGGTGATGGTTTGTGTTAAAAAAAAAAAAAAAAAAAATGGGTGATGGTTAAAAGTTATTACCGTGTCCATAAAAGTCTTGACCAGAGTCAAGCAAGTCATGGGGACTAAACCTGTGTCTCTTGAAGCCTCCACAACATGCCCGGGAGGTTTTTATGACATTGTTGGAAGCATTTTCATACTTCTCATAGATCAATGATACTGCTTTAGAGCTTCCTGAATCTATCTTCCCAAATGGACAGTGCTTTGCTTCCAACTCAATCAACTCTTTCAAAGCCGTAATGGCAAGATTTAAAAACATTGATCTCTCCTTCTCAGTCGTCCTAGTTCCACCACCCAAACCAAGTTCTGGTGTTGCATTTATTCCTGGATTAGAGGAAGAACAATGCGGCGCCGGTTGGAATGGATTGACCAGCATTTGATTGGGATGGGAACGGATTTTGGAATAGTACTGATCTATCTCCCGCTCCAATTTAGCATTCTCAACCATAAGTATTTGCACCTCATAGTCAATATCTCCGCAATTAGTTGCCCTACCACATATGTTGCATAAACTATGTAGCATTGCGCTTCTAAGCTGATGCTGAGTTACTAGCAATCTGTCATGGTCTTCTCTAAGAGTTATCTTCTCAAGGCGGTCACTATTGATCTGCTTACAAAAAAAAAACGAACTCAACTTTCGGCTCAATTTTTATACCATAATCAAAGCAGATTTTGAGGATAAGTGAGAGGTGATAAACTATATATTTATTTAAAATAGGGCAGAAACATGGTCCATAATATGGTGCAAAGACTAAGAAAAGACACAACCATATGTACACATTTTTGTATTTTTTTGGTACCTTCATCTGGCATCGTTTATTTTGAAACCAAAACTTGACTTGCTTAGGCTCCATATTAAGCCTTTGTCCAAGTTCGTACCTCTGATCCTCAGTAGGAAGAGGATTTTCCAAGTAGAAACTACAATCATTTTAAAAAAAAACATAGCAAAGTAATTAAAGAGAAACTTTTCAAACTCAAAAATCAAAAAATTAATAGGAAATGTTGCATGCATGATGAAATAAAGAAGAAACTAAACAAACTTTTCAAGTTCTTGAGTCTGATAAGCAGTGTGCCTATGGTTTCTCATCATCCTTCCACCATCTTGATCATTATTACCAGACGTAGCATCAATCATATGATCACCCTCACCATTTTCAGCTCCGCTTGGATTTGGAATGTTTCCAACCGCATCAAAATCATTTCCTTGTTCATTCATTTTCTCCCTATGCAACAACCTGGACATTGCATAATGTTAGTACTCGATATAGCTAGGGGTTTAGCACTCTGACCGTATAGTGAGTGTAATCAATTAATACACGCACAATCTTTTGACCACCAAACAAAAGAGAATAAAAAAACAAATTTTTGACCACCAAACAAAAGAGAATAAAAAAACCAATCTTTTGACCACCAAACAATTTAAAGATTTTATCCATAAATTTATGCCCCCAAAAAAAACAACGATAAGATTTATTACAATTATTTATTCTAAACTTTTACAATTACAATAACTCAAAAGAGACAAAGCCAATCCAAACTGCAAACTAATAAAAAAAATCCGGTAGCTTGTAAACTGGAAATGAAATACAACCAAAATAAAATTCAACTAGAGAATGAATCAGTAAACAGTTTTTTTGGAGGAACATAATTAAAATTGTCATTTTTTGTGTATCAGCATGGAACAAGACAATAGGACTCCGAAATTCGGGATACCCCTTGTATAGTTAACTCAATTTCTTCAAAATAAACACCTCATACATAAACGGAAAACAGACAATCGGAAACCGTAATCATCCTCTAAACTAAATATAAAAGATCTGATTTTCGGCCTAGAAAAAAACAACAATAATATGATTGTCAATATCCCATAAATCGACAAAATTGTAAGAAGAAAAACATAAAGGTGATATTATTTTTTCAGATAAACACAATCTAAAACAACCAAATACCGTTTGGACGAATGGCGAAAAGTAAAACCTAGTGACGGCGCTTTCGATTTTTCTGTGAATGTTGAATGAGATAGTGATTGTATATATATTCCCGATAAAAAGATGTATGGGCCTCTGTCCATAACGGACCTCGGCCCATAACTCTTCGATATAAGTATATAATCATAACAAATGAAAAACAAAACAAAATATAAATACATTAAACAAGTAAACACTAAATACACTTGATTCCTCACTAAATTTAATAAATGAAATTTAACTCTTCTTATATGGTTCAAGAAAATTAAATTTAGGTAGAATAAAAAATTAGAATGAAATCATTAAATGAAATCATTAGAATGAAACCTAACACTCATACTTAAATAGAGTGAAATATATAAGATAATAACTATAATTAAAACAAAAATCATTTTATTAAATCCTATAAAGATAAAACCATTAGTATAAAATCTAGCACTATAATTTAAATTGATGAATGAAGTTAAAAAAAAAAAGAAGATAGAAGTTATCATTGGATCTTTGATGATTTTAATTAGATTGAAGTTCATATAATTTTTATAAGAAAAATAAATTTAGTTTGCCACTTGCAAAATAATATGAATTCGAACTATTATGTGGGAGTTTATATCAACAAACAAACATATTATGTGTGAGTTTATATCAACAATTTCTTTTTTAAAAGTAATAGATAACATATGTTTATTAATGTTTACATACATAAATAATAGTAAAGTAAAAAACAATACTAAAATATGAGCAAATGCAAGATATCAAATCTTAAGAGTCTTTAAAAAAAATTCAATCATATTTATATTGAAACAAATGTCATCCACATCATTAGCATGTAATAATTTAAGATTTTTCTATAATAATATATAATAATTATATTTTATGTATTTTCTCATATTTTGTAACCTCCATACTAATAATTACCATTATGTTGTTAATGCTCACACTAAATAGCAACAATATTTTAAATACAATTAATACAAAATGAATTCTACACAATGAATTATTTGAAATGTAACATAACTTTTATGATATACATACAATTAACTTACTCATAAATGACATTTAGGGGGTGTTATTGGATTTGGGTTTTTAATTGACTTTGAAATCTAGTGTTATTCAATTATGTATTTGCAAAAGTACGTTAAAAATTTGCTGTTATTGGATTAGTATTTGTTTGATGTATTCTAAAATGAATTAAAAACAACTGTTATTCAATATTCATTTGATTTGTTTCATTTTGGATTTGAGTGTACTTTTACTCATAAAACATGAACAAAAACAATCCAAGCATTTTATCAAGTATTTCAAAATTCCACGTGAACTCCACATACAAGCATTGGACTTCAAAATCCAATTCACATATTATCTGTCAATTCAAGTCCATAAAAACCCCAATCCAATAACAGCTCCTTAAACATAATTGTTAAAGTTGAATAGTTGTAAAACGTAAATATGTTGTCTTCTATAATATACACATATCACTAACCATCATATTCCAAATTTCGTAATATTGATAAATTTTATAACACTTTCTTTTATAATCCGACTAATGATGTTTCAATATTACATTTTTGTCAATTTTGTAAGAGGCTGTGAAGAGGAGATGATATGTAACCTAGAAACCTTACTCACAATCAATCGTATGTGCTATTTCATAGGTATTTTAAAAGGAGCGAGTAGAGAAACCCGAAGTGCAACAAGAGAAGATATACTTAGGTTGATTTTCTTTGTCAACAACAATCAATCTATATAAACCTGAATTTTGATTGACTCAAAATAAATTTGATATCTTTGAAGTGAGATTAAGAAGAAAATCAAGAAGACTAATGAAGAGTAGAATGAAAAAATACAATTGAGTATGCTTCAAAGCAACATAAATGTTAAGTGGTAGTGGAAGCAGACGCTTGAATTGTATAATGAAATAATTCATCTCTCTTCACTTATCTCTTACAATATAATTCATCCCATTCCTACATCTATTTCTTAAACTGTAAAAAAAATTACGGAATTAATTTGTTATACATTTCTCAAATAAATTATGCTTTTACAAGTAGCATAAAACGGTTATTTTATTAACGGAGAATAAACTAATAAAATGGTTGTTTCAATATTTGTTAGGTCATTTATGTGATTTTAAATATTTTCATTAAGTAGATAAACAACTTCGAATCAAGTTGTATCAAAATATAACAGTAGACTCAATTCAAAACTCAGCCCAAACCCAATATGTATAACATTTGGTTATGATATTTTCATTAAGTAGAAAATAATAGAAAATTTGTTGTATTACCATTATATTTAAATTCTTTAAAATGCAACAATAACTTTTAAAATTGGATAAATTTAGAATATCAACTTTACTATTAAAATATAAATTATAAATTGAAAACGATGTAACTTAATTTTCATAGTAGGGTTTAATATTTTCACATTTTAACAAAATAAGTATTATTTATGTATACATATTATATTACTATAATCATTAATTTTATCATCAACACTCTTAAAATTTCTAATTGGCTTCAAATACTGTATTGATTAAAAGCAGTAATATACTCTTAATTATTTTTAGAAAAAACATAAATATCATTGTATATAGATGAATACAATTCAAATTTTACAGAAAAAATCAAATTTGAATTTACTGTCATTCATTTATTTATTTTCCTTTAAATTTTAAATTCAAACAAAAAAATTAAATAAAATAAATAACAACATATAACATAGTATGCAACAAGCCGCGAATATCGCGGCTAAATAACCTAGATGTGACCAGAAACACATATACAATCTTCTAGTAGACAATATTAACATGCAAAATAATTGAATTTGATTATAAACGAAAAGGGGAAATTAGGAGATATAGCCATAAGATGGGGTAAAATTAATGATGACCCTAATTCAAGAAATTAGAAAACCAAAATATACATCTATTAGGTTGATACAACAACACTACCAACGTTTCTCTTAGATTCTCATAGCACACATCATAACATGAATGAATAGTTAGATCTAGACATTCTAAGCAGTTAGATTGCTTGAACTTTAGTCGACTAGCCTAAGCGAGATTTGGTACTAGAAATTGGAGTTTGAATCTTGATCTAACCCTTTCTTCTGTTACTCTTCTTTTTATTTGCATGTATAACATTCCCTGACCCAGAAGAAGAGGTATTGGTGGTCGATAAGGGCAAGACAGTGGCGTCCTGGACCTCTTTCGTCTCTGAGACTTCACTCTCACCGTCCATTTGGGCCATTAGTTTTCCAAGCTGAGAGTGTGAATAACAGATTTAGTAGGTGTTTTATTATATAACCAATAACGCAGGGGGTTGTATTGTCTATAGATGATTGTTTACCTGTTCTTCTAAGCCCTGAATCTTTTCATCCTTTGCCCGAACTGCCTTCTTCTCCCTAAATCAAAGGGAAGTTTCCATCAATGAGAAATGGAGCCTGGTCTCACAAGCTAGAATATGCACAATTTCCCATGACGAGATTTGCTAGATAGATAATACCTTTCTTCCATTTCTGTAATCTTGGTGCTCCATACGTCCTTATTTTTCACAAGATTTTCGTTCAACTACACATGAGAAAACAACAAGTCAAAATACTCTACAGAAATGTAATTAGATGTAAATATGCCATCAAGAAAAACTTTCACTAGATACTCACATCTTCAAGAAATTGCTTCTCTTTGACACATCTGTCAAACCTGGTTTGCAGCTTCTGTAGTCTCTGGCTTATTGCCTTGCTCGCAGCTTCCGAGACTTTCTGTTCCGTTTCCTCTTTGACATTTTGTAGCAACTTTTCAAAATACTAATGGGCGAGGAAAAGATAAAAAGAAAACTAAGAAAGAATATCTTAATCCCTTTGGTAGACAGAATTAAAACTTAAATAAAGTGAAGCAGACAGTGAAAACCTCAAGAGACTGGTAGTTATCGAGACAACAAAAGGCTAACAGGATAGGTGCTTACTTGTTTTTGATTCTCTAGTTGTGCCTGGAGAAGTTCGTTGTACTCACTAATGATCTGTGGTTTGAAAAAGAAAAACGACGAGGCACTAAATTTACTTAAGAATACAAAAATTGAACACAGAGGATTATGAAAATAAAAAACTGAAGCACTACCATGTCCACTTTGCTGTTCAGGAGAGCATCAGACATTCCACTGTCAGAATATTCACAGCTTCCACAACCATCCTTGCTCAGACTTCCATGAGAATTCAACTCCACTAGCTTGCCATCAGTTTTGGATTGAATAAGCCGGTGAACATAATTGTCACCAGCATAATCCCAAACACGTTGTGTTTCAAGCTCAAGTGAATAGCAATGCTCTGTCTCCTCCCAGTGCCTTCTGGCATGTCCTTCCTTGTACCTACGATACAAAGCGAAATGGTTAACCTGGGACAGATGAGAAGGAGACATGTCTCTATGCTGATTGCAGGAAATGCAGTCCATACCTTCCGCAGCCAACAACCCCACAGATAACACACATCCAGAGATTCTCCGTTGTTTGGCAAACACAACATACTGAATTTTCAGGTTGCTGTTGGCAATATCGACAAACCTGAAAATAAAAAACAACACCCATAAAGAAAAACTGAATATTTGTTTAAAAGAGCATGAAAATGATAAAAGAAACTTACTGGGCAAGAAGAATCTGGCCAATTAGAAATACATGAACAATGAAAGGAATGATTGCACATGGTTGTGAGAATGCCACCAGTGTCTTGGTCCAATCTCTCTGAAATATGAGCATATATTAATTACTATACCGAAACCAAACATAGTCAATATATGACACCAGAGATACTGTCAATCTTAATATCAATACCTATGTCTATACTTTCTAGAGCTAGACTAAGCCATATTTCTGCATAAATTACAATAATTCAGGTTAAGAATATACCAAGACACACTGGACAAGTAGGTTGCTCAATTGGGCCAGCAGCAGAAGGCTGTGTATGGTCAATAGATCCACTATAACCGGTAAACTGAACATCAAGAGTAAAAAGCAGGCGACAGAGATCTTCCTGCACAGAGTTGGCAGC